AGTCATTTCAGGTACCAGGGAATGAACAAGCACAAAGTCTGCATTATTGTCACTGTTTCCATGTGGCAAGATAATTCTAGGGGTTCTTGCACCTGGAAGCAGCTGGGCACTTGAGTTGTGTTTTGCCACATCAGCATGCTGTGAGTAGAAGAATGCCCTCACCAAATGATCCTGACAGAGAAAACGTAAGATTCTTGATAGCTGGTTGGTTTTTTTTTTTTTGTATATGGCATATTCACCTCCTTGTTGAAGCTGCTCCTGTTAAGGTGTTTCGTGCAGATTTGAATATGTTGGCTCAGATGAGGACATCAAAATGTGTGTTTAATTGTCCATAACTAACATAGTGAGAGACAGAGGGTAAGTTTCAGTATCACTTGTTTTGTCTAAAGCTGGGTTAGAACTGTTCAATCATTTCCTGCAGCTCTGGGAGGCCTGGCAGTGAGTTGGCTGGTTTGCTGCAGGTTCACAAGCCCACGGAGGAGTATGTGTTGCCAAGGGAGCTAGTGCATATAAAAGTTTATTATGCTGTTTTCCCTCCTTCATGCTTTCTAGCTTTAGTTCTGCTTATGCTGTCACTGAGGCTGAATCCACTACTGACTGTATAATGCAGTAATTGTGAATATCTGTGTTCATAATTTCCAGGAGGAGATGCAAAGGAATCTCCTCTTCTAGAATCAATCTCTTCAATTACCTCAGGTCTGCAAGAGCCAGATGGACAGGTCCTTTCCACATAGAATCATAGAATTTGAGGGTTGGAATGGACCTTACAGATCATCTAGTCCCTACCTCCTGCCATGGGCAGGGACACCTCCCCACTAGATCAGGTTGCTCAAGGCTCATCCAGCCTGGCCTTGAACATCGCCGGGGTCAGGGCAGCCACCACATCCCTGGGCAACCTGTTCTAGTGGCTCACCACTCTTACAGTAAAAAACCTTTTCCTTCTCACATCTAACCTGGGCTTTCCCTCCTTTAGTTTGAACATGTTAGGAGTATGGCAATTTATACTAGAATAGGTCTGTTTGGTCCACTCTGTTCTCCCAGAGCAGTCAGATGTGTTTGACTGACTGTGAAGGTCACATAAAGCTCAACCACAAACTTCCCAAATGGATTTTCCAAATATTGCCTTTGCTTGTCCTACTTTGACCTTGTTTAGTGTTAGCCATATTAGGGGTCCTGCCTTCCCTGAGGGTAGAACAAGGCCTTTGTCTGACTTAAAAGAAAAAGGAAGACAACGTGAACTTCTTGCAGATCTTTTGGCATGACAATTAGACCCACTGTTATGGCTTTCAAAAACAGAGGGGTGTTGGGGAAAACTCTTCAATATCTATCACTTAGGACAACTAAAAGCCTAACCTTCTTGGCATGGAACGTATTATGAAATGGTTCTTTTATAAAATGTTCCTTATTGTTTGCCTGTACCTTTGACTATGCAAGGTATCACAGGTATGTTTCTAAAGAAAATGCTGGTGAATATTTTTGGTGAAACTTGATGTGTTCCCTGCAGCCAGACAATTAGGCTTCAAGGCTGAAATGCACTGTGTGTGGGGGCATAACAGAACTTTTGGAAGAACTTGTTTGATACACAGTGTCTAAGCTCATGTATGTACAGCAGAGGTTCTAGTACTTGCTACCACACTGACAAGTCTGTGTGGACAGACTGTCATCAGACACTGCAAGTTTTTCTGGTACAGTTTCACCACTTCTGTGTGTGTGATATACTAAGTATGATAATGGTTGAGTGCTGCTAGGTCTTTGTGGGAGCTGAAGATGTTACCACCACATTCTTTCTTATGGTCTCTTTTTTGCATTTTCAGTATTAGGCAGTAGAGTTTTGAATGGATCAGCTAGTGTGTTATGTGTGAATGTTGGCAATGAAGAAGTGAGGGCACTTTCCTGGTGATGAGCTGAGAAGCTTTGACAGAGGGTTTGAGCGAGCATCTTTGAGTGATAGGAGCTTAAATTATTGTAGCAATACTTGCAAGAATTTATTTAGTTGTGCCTTAAGTTAACAAAGTCTTTGTTTGTGTGCTTAGCTAAAGTTAGTTCCAGGTCATGTCAGAGAATGCATACATTTTCTGTCTAAGAGGTGGTTAGACATGTTGTTTGGAAACCTGTGGAATCCCCTTGGTTTGTTACTTATTTTTGTTTCATGGACGTTGCAGCATTGCAGAGTTGTGTGATTTCAGGTATCCTGTGATACTGCATTGAGTTACAGTATTTTGTTTCAGATTTTGTTGCTGGGAAATGACTGGCTGTGGTGTCTGCCCCAGCTGACTAACCATACAAGGGAACAGCTGGTGGTACTAAGCTGCTGCTTGTTCATGGTGAAAGAGCAGTTCTGTGTAGGGTGTGGAGGTTTGTAGCAGTTAAAGCCAAGAGGTGCATGTGTGAACAGGTGCAGTTTTTAAATTCTGGGTTATGAAAGGTGTACATTAAAAAAAGACAAAGGTGCAGGTTGCACCAAGTGATACTTGCATTAGAGTAATGTGAATCTGCTGCACATCAGCTGTTACTCAATTTTCAGTAAGTAGTATTGGCTGCATCCATGTGGAATATTACAGCCTCTCCTGAATGGTGCTGTATTCTTGTCCTGTTTGGACAGCAGCAGGCAGTGAACTGGGCACTTTGGAAGTCCATGCCACAAGTCAGTGAGATGAGACAGTAAGTCAAGCACAGTGTCCTCTATGTACCTTCAGCTGGATGCTTGCTGATGCCATGAATGTAATTTCCACCCTTTCCTGTGATCTTCAATTTGAATGAAGGTTTTTTTATTTTCTGTCAGAACAAAGTCAGAGGACAAAGGAATACTCGTAAGAATATGGAAACAGACCGCAAGCTGGAAGTCTTGGCTGAGCTGTTAGGGCAGCAAAAGTTCTGGACCTATAGCCTTGACCTCTGGAGAGTCCATGTTTTTGATGGTAGACTTTGAGAAGAAAGTGAGGGGAGGAAGCAATGCATGGTGAAGTTTGAAGTGGTGTGGATCTGTATGCAAATGGCAGTGTTAAGGCAGAAACTAGAAACAAAGTGTTTCCAGATTATGAGTGATACAAGAGGGATAGTGTAATCGCCAGTTGTCAAGTGTATAAGTGAACCTTTTCCACAAAACTTTGAGATTGGAATATGGTCTGACAGAAGAGAACTGCCCTACCTCCAGGTGTATGCAGGCACCTATTTGCAACTCTCTTGTTAAGAGAGGATGAAGCACCAGTTTTCAGGCTGTAATCTGTAGTTTCTGAAAAAGTTAGATCTGAACTTGGTGTCACTATGGTTTCATGCATCAGCTCTTTGCTTCTCATTTCCCTTCTCCTTTAAAAAGTAAATTTCTTATAGTGCCAAAGGATATGAACATTGAATAGTAATAGATCTGCACTCTTGTATTGGTCTTCTTATCCCTACCTCCTTCCTATTGCAGCCTTCCCAACTTAGTGTTTGTAAGACAGCTATTCATCAAATCAGTATACTGAGTTGCTGAGCTAATAAGCTAAATGTAGTACAGGAGAGGTGGGCTGAGATAAAAACCCAGATGGTTCGTTGTGAGTTGAAGCTAATAATCCTTTGATGTAGCCAAACTGATGCTCTGCATTTGGTTTGGGTGTCTTTGCACTGAGCTTCCTAGTGTGTTTGTAATACTTATCTGATCATTTCTCTGTTATCTGTAGCTCCCTGTTAGCTAGGATGATAGGAAGTTGTCTACACAGCTTCTGCTATTACACTCTTCCTGCTAGGAAGCTGCTGACAGTGGAAACAGTGACTCCCAAACATGTTGGGATCTCTCAGCTCTTACAAGATTGTGAATAGGAAGATGTTGCTCCCCAGCTTAAAAACCCCATTTTTCTGATGTTCTGGGGTTGGATCATGTACTACCATCACATCAATACACAAAGCTTCAACAAATTATTTTTTATTGTTGGTGACTGTAACAATCTAGTATGTGCAGCACAAGTACGAGTCGGAAAGACAAAATATTAAGACATAAATTGTGATTTAAGAAATTGGGTGTTTGGTATTAAGTAAGTCTTGGCATTAAGGAAGCTACACATTGGCTAGAAACAAGTTGGTTTTAAGCATTTTACAGGTGTCTTAGAATTGACTGGAAATGAAGTCAATGAAACAGTTGGAAATATTGTGCAAGGCTTGATTACTTTTTCCTTTAAATTTCCTCCCTTTCCATCCTTTTTGTATGGGTTCTCTCCATACAAAAGATGTTAAGTTGCCTGAAACACATGTGTACTCACTGATGCATCAGTACCTTTCAGGGAATTAATTATGATAGAATTGCCTTTAACTCAGTGTAGCACTGACCTGAGGAGGTTTGAAAAAATGCCTCTCTCGGAATTGCCTCAATGAAGTCTGTTGTTGGTATAGAGAAACGGGAGGAAGAAAATTGCAATTCGGTGTTCTACCTACACATTAAAGCTTTAAAGTTGAAGTATTAAAGTATTTTGTGTTAACCTGTTTCCACATTAGTATTGGAAAAGACTTGCCTGAAAGAGTCAAGGAAATGTTATTTCACTTATTACCTTACTTCCAAAATCTTAAATACTTGGAGTAGGAGACTGCAGTAGCACTGTGATGTTTCATTGAGGTTTGGTTTTAGGAATGCACAATAGAATTTTAAACTGCATTACAGTTTAGCCAACCTATCTTTGTAAATCACTTGTGGGTGTTCAATGATGAGTTAGCTAGTCTCTTTTCTGAAGGAATATTTCTAACTTTCAAGCTGGAGCATTTCCACTTGCAGCTATTTTTCTCTGGCCTGGCTTTGATTTATACAAATGCTAATTATAGGGCTTTGAATCTGTGTGTATACATAGTTTCACAAGGTCATACACATTTTTAATGAACTGGCTGAAATGCTTATATATTGCTAGGTTGTTATGTAAACAGATCACTGTCTTATAAATGTTCTGTTAATCGGTTCAAAAAGCGGAAAAAAATCAGCAATACATGTGTGATTTTTATTTTTGTCTCCTAAAGTTTTATCTTGATTGTCTTTGCAGGCATCAGAAGGTGTCACCTTCATTGGACCTGACACACATGCTATTCAGGCTATGGGAGACAAGATTGAAAGCAAATTGTTAGCCAAGAATGCAAAGGTCAACACAATCCCTGGCTTTGATGGAGTAGTCAAGGTGAGAAATCATTTAATTAATGTCTGCCCACTGTCGGAGCAGGGTCTAAATCAAAGTACACCTATTAAAGGCCTGATGCAGGAGCTAATTATAATTTCAACTTCTTTTTCGATAAGATGTAATTAAAAATGGGGTACAGATTCTAACTAGCAAGAGAGCTTTGGAGAAGGAAAAGTCCTTGATAATAAATGATGTGTTAAGGAGTCCTTCAGTGGAGTCTCTAAAAAGATTTTGCTTTAAATTTAACAGGAAGGCAGGTAAATGTGTTAAATGTCAGGTGTGGATTCAACTATCTGCACATATTTACGTTTCTCAGTGGGTCTTCTTGGCCAAGATCTTGACAGCTCTAAGTTAACAGCAAACTTTGTTAAACTGTGTGAAGTTTCCATTTTATGGTCTGTGCTGATGGTGCAGTTTTCCATGTGTTCCAAAACTCAGGGTGAGGATGGAGGGAAGTTGATGGTTCTTTGTTGGAATCTACAGCTAGTGTTCTTTCTGTGATTTTAGAAGGTATGATTTCCAACAATTTTCTACAAATATTTTGGTTGGTTTTTTTTAATACACTTCATTTAACCCTATAAAATATCTTGCTTTTGGTTTGTTTTCTGCTATTGTGGTTAAATATTGGGCTCTTACGAGCTTTCCTGCATATCCTAATATATTGTCTATGTTAATGTAGTTAAATAAGTTTTTCTCTTTAAAAACCTTCATTCTATACACCTAAAACTTTGATGTATTACAAAATGGTGGCCTCCTAGGTTGAAAGTTTTATGCTTGATATGTCAAATTAGAATTTTTTTTCAAATAAAGTTTAAGTAAAACTTTGAGTTGCATGAAAAAGTGAGAAGTTTGTTTCAACAACACTTGAATGTAGTGAAGGGAAATACTTCCGTGTTTTATTTGTGACAACTGATATTGACCTCTCATCATAAATCTATATATGATAAATCAGAAAATGTCAAGATAGTTGGGAATAACTATATATGTGGATGGAATGCAGACTGTATTTTAGGGAGCAACACATAGTAAGGCAATGGTGTTCAGCATCGTGTTAGCTGACTCTGTTCAGAGGGAAAAACCAAACCCAAACCAAAACCCAACTAAATGAGGAAGGTAAGTAGAGTTGCAGAAATGCTGAGCCTCCACAGAAGGTATTTGTTTCAATGGGGATGCCTGGAGAACTTGACTAGTGGGAGAGAATGATAAAAGTCACAAAATAGCTGATGTCAAAATGTTCAAGAGAATTCTTCAGTAGTTGTGATGGAAATGCTTGGTGTGTACTGACTGGTAGTGAGTGGGCTGTGCTGCAACAGGTAAAAGTGCAGTGTTCTTTCTCTGTTGGAGGGTTCCATGTGAGTGTTAGGTTGGCAGTTGTGGCCATGCTGAAGTCTGGCAGTGGCAAGTTGAACACAGCACTCTTCCAGGTTTTGTTGTATATTTTAACAGTCCTTGTGTATGTAATCCTTTAGCACTCGTAAGATTTTACAGCAGCCATGTTATTGTGCACAAGTTCTTCTATTCCATCTGACATCCTATGTATTCTTCTAGAAATCCTGAAAATAACTTCTGGAAAAACATCTAATCAGGTGAATTAGTAATTTAAGCACCACAAAACTTTCTCTAATGCAGAATCAAATACTCAAAATGCAGGTTTTATCACTGTATCAAGTTAAAACTTATGCAAGGGTCTGTTGTTCTGCTAATATGAAGAAACAAACCCGACAAAGCAGGATAATGATTAATGAACAGGTAGACATATAACCAGTGAAACTGAGCTGCTGACTTGTATGCACTTGTTTCCAAGAGTCTCAGTTGCACTGTTTTCTGGCGATTATCTGGAGTTCCTGACACAAAAAGGAAACTTAAGTGATCTGGTTGGCATTTGGCTATATGCCCTTAAAACCGAATGAATTGGAATGTGGGATTGAGTTGACAACTCCAATCCTCAGCTATTGAAAGGAACTGTGTGGTAGTTGCTTAATCCTGAAGTATAATATATCAGTTTCACATACCTCAGCCTTGCACTAGTTCTATTATCTGAAGAGTGTTGATGAAAGAGAATGCATAACTAAAAAAACCCAAACAAACCAACCCTGCAGTGTAGCCACGACATAAGGAAAAGGAAAGTCCACAGACATTGCCAGTGTTGTAGTTTCCATCAGAAAGGGGAGATGAATGTTTTAGGTTAACCAGTGCTGTGGTTACCAATTCTGGGAAATAAAGCTTCTGATAATTGATATTGTCATACTTGCTATGGATCTAAATATGTGCCTGTGTTTGTCCTCTGATTTCCTTACTGCGATAATGTGTCTTTTGATCAAATGAATACCCAAGTAATTAGGTCATACAGGACGCCTTCGGTTAGAGCTTGAATATACTGTTTTGCCATTCAGACTAAGATAGGAAGGGCAAAGCTGTGTGATAGAGCTACAATCAAAAGAGCAACACACAAGGAACTGGAGACTGTTTAGGATTTCTGCCGTGCTGTGGGAGACATGTTTTGGTCAGTTATGAATCTTGTAAAATTTTTGAGGGTGTTCTTCCTTGAGATCTAAAAATTTTAAAGGCCTTAGGAAGGAGGTAAGTGTCTGCTTGACACTTGAGTTGATTAGAGGTGGCTTCATCTTTATAGTGCAGTCTAGTAAAGCTGGAAGAAAACTGCATTAATACTTCTGACAATGCCAGACATTAAGACAGATCTGTTGCATATATTCTTCGTGGATGAATAGTTAAAGCAAACATAGAATAATAACTTCTAGTGCTTTGTTACTCAACTCAGGACTGCACTCAAAGTCTTCGTTACTAGAAGAGTTGTCTTTATCCAGCACTTGTTAAATAGTGCTGCAGATACATAGGTCTACCAAAAAAGGGTGTTTTCCCTCTCATTTGTGTTGCTTAGCACTTACACATAAGAGACACTGTAGTTGCTAAGTGTTTGTAATAACATCTTGGAGAAGTTGCATGCAGAAAAATACCCAGTGAGATTAAATTAGAAATTTAAGAGAAGGAAGCACTTTGACAGTATACTTAGAGACCTGAAGGATTGAAGAGGAGAATTCTTGGCATAGCAGACACAACTAACTATTCTCATACAGGCAAATGCTCTAGCAGATTTAAAACTGAGAATGGAAGGATGTAGAGTGAGAGTGGAGAGGGCAGTTTGACAAAGTGTAATTTTCTTCTCATCCCTGGTTCAGTTTCTCAGTTGGCTGGGGCAAGGGTTATTCATTTTACACATGTAAGGAACCGAAGTATCTGTGCTCTCAGCTACAGAGGCAACAAAAGCATTCAAAGGTAATTAATTTTAAAATGTGTAACCACAATTAATTTTCTAAAACCTGATTGGGAGAGCTAGTGGTAAACAGTCTTAGTCAAAGGAATTAACATTAATCTATGTGAGCAGTGGCTATACTAAAGTTAGAGCTGAGACAATGTATTGACGGTAAAGTCAAGAGGAATAAGTGACAAGAAGAAAGTGGAGGCTGAGTTACAAGTATAAGGACATGCTGTGGTGGAAAAACTGGCAAAGGAATGGCACGGGAAGAATGATTTTTTTGTATTGTTTCACCACATACAGCCAGTTTGGTTTTATGGATGGTAGAACACAGCTGGATGTGGATCCAGAAGATTAATGTCTCTGTGTGTCTACTTAGTTTCATTGATGTGAGTAGACACGTTGTAGGTTTTCACGAAGGCCCTGAATTTGGTGTAGTTAAGTAGTTAAGTTTATGGATCTGTTTTGGCTAAATTCTTGCATTGGGGTATTGACATTGGGATTGAATGGTCACTGTATTTCTGGAGAGGTTATTGGAGACGAGACATGAACTGGAGGCAGAAGCTAAGGCAAACACCCTCAGCAATGAAAACTATTAGGTAGTTCTTCATAATTAATACAATGTTTTACAGTTCTAGGAGTTTCTTGAAACAGCTTTATCCTGGCATTCCTTTACATCAAGACAGTTTTGCTTTTCTGTCTCCACCTGCTGGTACCTGGCTGTGAGGCATGTAAATGGCATTAGGAAGTCAGGAATTCTTACGCTAAATGAGTATTTTATGTTTCTTGAACTTAATGGAATCACCTATTTGTAAAAACACTATGACATCATTTTATAACTCTTAAGATTTTTATAAACTTCTAGCATTACTTGAACATTTTTATTTGTACTATAAAAGGTGGTGCTAAAATCATATGTTTCTTTACAATCTCCAGTTTATTTTTGGAAAATGGTAGTGTAGCTAATGTGTTTTTTGAGAAAACAGCAGTAAATCATTGAGGACTTTGGCTTTTAAAAAATCATTCAAAATGCCTTCAGTACCAATGTGGTTTTGTATATTTTACACATATGGACTTGTGTGTGTGATAACATTTAGTTTTTTGCCTCCTCCTAGGCAAATGTTGTATATATATCATAAGCTCTGTGCACCGAAAATCTAAAATAAGTGTCTTAACTTTTTATGCTCAAAACTGCTTCTGCATTTAGGTAATCTGAAAGTGA